CGAACTCACCGTTGAATATTGTATTCACTTTCAAACAAATATGTCTCTGAAGATTATCGCGTATCCGATCGAAAACGATATCTCTCGCGTCATCGAGGAACTGTCGAGATTCGATGTAATTCGAATTCAACACCACACCAGTCAATACGCGATCGTTAAAAGCTGTTTCGATCTTCAACCACAAAAATTCCCTCTTTTGCGATTTGACATAACCAGAGCCCACATGTTCAAAACGTTGTCGTAAAACATTTCTCAAACCTTCCAATCGTACTAGTCGAGCGATCGATGCATTTACAACTCCGGTAGATGTTCGTCGACGTTTACTGTTTCGACACGTCTCCCACAAGAAATCGAGACACTCGTCGCATTTTTGCTCCCATACTCGATACATGTCCGCCATATCGATGCTCGTCGCACGATGAAAAAGATCCTCCACCTCCTCATCCATCTCTCTCTATATATTAAAAAAAATCACTACCCTCACTTACACGCACGTGAACCAGAGCGTTTCACCGCAACTATCTATAGGTATGTCGAATTTAATTTTTTCATACATCCTTCCAATATCATCGATTTTTCGCATACCTTTCATAACTGCGTTCTTATATCTTCTCACGCGATCGTCAACAAAAACTATCGCGCTTTTCATCCACAAAATCTCTCGCGAACAGTGATTTCTAATCTCTCTCCGTAAATGATGTGTAGCTAAATTCCAACACCTCTTCTCCTTTATACAGGATATAATGTAGGACTCGATACCATACGCTTGTAACAATACACATCGCTATCTGTATCTGAAAACACACTTGACGGATCGCTGTCCGTACTCTCGTTCGGACAGCGATCCGTCAAGTGTGTTTTATTATCGCTTGACATATTAAGCATTCAAAAATCACTGTAAGAAGAACCTTACCCCGTATGCATTTATATATCGTTCCTTCGTCGAAAACATCGAAATCGCGTCCACTGATTAAATAGTTTTAATACATTCTGTAACGCGCAACATTTACTGTGTCTTCCATACCGAAATGTATTGATAGCGTCTAAATTTCCAAGCGATTTAATCTCGTTGTAATGCACATCGATCGTTTCGACTATAACGTCGTCATTGTTCAGAATGTCCACTAACCACCCCCGTTTTTCGAGTTCCTTCACATAAATGATTGTCTCACTTTCTCCACTGACAGCTTCAGTGATCAGACGCTGCGCCATACGATATGGTATCATCCCGTCGTTCCACCGCAATCCGTGATGATGTGTCATCAACCATGAGGCGTGCGACTGATCAGCTTTCGTCAGGAAACGCCATGGCATCGGGCACGTAAAGATGTAGTGTGTCAACTCGCTCCCATTCTTCAAAACTGCTACCTCCTTCACAACGAATCGCTCACCCCCACGACAAATCCTTAACAAAAAAAACATACAAATAATACACATATTTGTAAAAATAAAAAAGAGATAAGAACTATACCTTGCAAATCAACGAATGTTGACACCATAACGTTGAACGAAATATGTCACCACAAACGATTAAACTAAACCAATGAGATAATCGTGCAAGCAGTTCCTGCGGAGAATGTGTGTGCTCTCTCGGTGTAAAGGAACAATCGCACGTAAAAGTGAGATAGCTATATAATATGTGATAAAATAGGATATGCATAAGTAGGTATAATATGTGATAAAAATATAACGTATTAATATCATATGCAGAACGTTCTTTTCTTCTTTCCTATTTTTTTTTACTAAATGTTTTTTTACTAAACGTTTTTCCTTTCCTTCGTTAGTGATGATACTTTCTTCATATCGTCAGCTATACAATCAAAAGCCGATTTACCATTTGCTGCTTACGATCTCTGGGGGAAGATGTCAAAAATTTTGTTCTCAATTTTGCATATTTCCACCATTGATGTTCTTCCTTATTTTTAATATCGTGAATATCATACACATGTACGCAAATCAATGATGTCCAGTCCTTCCGGAGTTCCCACGGTGTACAGATGACCATTTTCCAATTTTGTAATATATTGGGATATTGGAATATTCCATTGATTTGCTGTTTCGAGGTTGAAGCAAAAAGCGCGTCCATACCTTCAGATGTCAATTCGATGTAAAAATCTCACAATCGATATTCGGTGCATCAATAAGTGTCATCATGTGACATCTAACAAACTCCTTCATATCGTGCAACCATTCGAAGAATATATTTCTCGTCATGAAATCTTCCACAAATCTTAAACAAATGATGCAACACTTTACTCTCGGAGGTAGAGAAGAAACGATTCAACTCTTCCATAGAATATATAGAATTCAGCAAACCTCTCGTTTTCAACGCGTCCAAAAATGACATTAATGCATCTTTCATTGTCTTTGCTTCCCTCATACGTATCGTATTCGGGTCTATTTTTCGTATACGATTTACCATATAGGTCTGTATGCATCCAATCATTCGCAAATTTTTGATAAACGTATTCGTAATCCACGTCTGATATATTAAATCGATTATAGAACCCATAAACATTTCATCGAACACATCTTCCTCTTCCTCATCTAATAGTTGTTCAAACGATTTCTCAGTGAATATTTCTCTATCTCGTCGGTAGCTCTTCGACCTCTTTACTTTGAGATTCCATCGTAGTACACAAATAATACGTTCGAAATCACCAAAAAGTATGTATGACGAAAAAAGTCTCGCCCATACGCATTTATATTACTATTGTCCATCGAACATGTTAACAGATGTGATTTCTATCGAGGACACAAAACTGTATAAAAATAGACACCCTTATGAAAATTGAAACGACGTCATGCGAGAGAGAACGCATCCGAAATAGAATGCAATAGTGTCTTATCACATCTTTGTGGTATCTATCAAGGAGACAAAACTGCGCATAACGGAAAAAGGAACAATGGATTCTTATCGTATCTTTAAGGATGTGGTATCTAACAGGAATACATAAATACGCAAATAACTGCATAAAAGAAAATTGAAAACGTTAGATTCTTATTTTGCTATCTTTTTTTATTAAACTAACAATTAAAAAAACACGATAGTAAAAGTGTGTGTGGGAAACGGTGGTACAATCAAACGCAATAAGGTGTCATCGCGAAAAAAATACGCGATATAAGTATGAGTGAAAGCGGATCCGTTGTGAGAGATCAAATCTTCTGCGAGCGAGAGCGACAGCGCACGCGGGAAGAAAAACGCGCGAACTCCCTCAGTCGCTCGTCTGCTCTCGAGCTCGCGGGATCGTTGTCGCGTCGTGTCACGTCGTGAACACACACATGCGCCCGTGGGAACGGGGGCCGGGGAGGAAAACTACAAGAGGTGGTGGGAGGACAAAACAGCTCGCTCATTGTCTGACCACCCCCCCCCCCCCCTCACCACAATATCCCTCTCGCCCAGTTTTCCCTCCGGCCCCTCACTCCACGGGTTCCCCCATGACTTCACATATACATAGATAATCTACTTTTATAATTTCTCGTGCTCACATTTTTATTCACACGTTTATCACCCAAATACAAATTCACCATTGAATGCAGTATTTATCTTGATATTATCATGTCTCTGTATGACATTTTGCATACGTTCCAGCATAATTTTACTCGCGTCTTCAAGAAACTGGCGAGGCTCGATGTGTCCAGAGTTTATCACGGCACCGGTCAATATACAACTTTTAAACACCATATCAATCTCGCACCATCGAAGTCCCGCGCTGCACCCGGCACCCATTTGCACAAAATGTTTGTGCACAGTATCTTTCAAATTTTCGAATCTCGCGATACGATTGTTTAACACTAATCGATAATCGCGGACGTTTAGCGTTCCTCCAGCGATTCGATGAAATTATCAACAATGAAGCTCCCACGCGACAAATTCTTCTCGCGTATTCAATGAGATAGATTGCTTCACCAAATCATGTTCTGTTTGTTCCATATTGTCACTTTGAATTGTTGCTCGATTGCTGACAAAATGTGTCTCCAAAGAGAAAAAAGAAAATCTTTTCATTTTCTACCTTCTGGGAAATGAATCATTTCTTTGGTATATTGCACGTTCTAACATGTTTGAACATGTTTCCGAAGAGGCGATTTTATCGATTCTACAGCTGAAATATTTTTTGAAAAAAGGGCACATAAACTGATAAAACTTTATTATTCTTGTTGGCGTCAAACCTATAGATAAAAAGGTTCGGTATGGTCGGAGTGCATTCTTACGATATGAGTCATTGCATAGTTTGAACTTGATGGTTGTTACACTGAAAAACTAACTCGTACATTTTTTGTGAAAGAAAATAAAATTCCTTAGATAGAAAAATATTTTTTAAAGGAAGCATGGGAAACAGATAGCCTTTATTATCATTGTCGCCGATCCCTTAGATAAAAAAGGTTCGATATCGCCAGAGTACATTCTTACGATATGAGTCAATTGATTCACTGAATACGCCGAGGATACAGTGGATAGCTATTAAAAAATTTGTGCTGGGGACCACAGTTTAAAAAGACGTATTATATCAGTCACTCTGTGGCCAACGGTAGATCGGTGGTC